CTGACCGAAGATTTTTCTGCTGCTCCAGCAAAAGGTCACCATTGAACTTCAGCAAGGGGAGAAAGAAGTTCCTAACTCAGAGCAGAGGAGCAGATCCAGTCTCATTTAGAGTGCACTGCACTACTTATCCCAGGCACTCTGACCATTACAGGCTTTACAGGCCTGGGAATGTTCCCTTCCCCTCCTTCTAGGCTGCTGGGATCTCCTTTCTGTTGCACTGATACTCTTAACAACAGAATATAATTTGCTACAAACTAAGGTGGTTTTTGTTGTTGTTGTTATTGTTCTGGGCTTTTTGTTAAGCTTGCTGATGTGGTCCTGGCCATGGATCTTCAGGCTCAGTGTAAAGCTTTTTCCTCCCCCACAAAACTTCTCTCTCACACAGGTTTTGCTAGTTTTGGCTTTAGGTACCTTAACATTTGGAGAGATGAGAAGGGATTGCCTATGCATTTAGCAGGACACTTGCTTCATTGTTACCTTTCTTTGGAATTGAGGAAAAGAAACAGATGCTGACCTTCTGTCCACTACCCAGAAGGCCACATGCCTTCTAGTCCCCTTCAGGACACAATTAACCCAATGCAGTTTCATACCCTGCTTTCAGAAACGGCGTATTTGCGTATAAAGTGTAATGCCGAAGTTGTGGACAAATAAGGATGTTTCTGATTAGGAACTCCAGAACATACATTGCTGGCCCCCAGAGTTCAATTCTGTTAGAGCCAAAGGAAAAACAACTCCAGAATCGTCCTTCTTTCACATCACACTGCTTTAACAAGGCAGAAAATCTTGAAGGGCAGGAAGAAAGCTGAGAACCTGGGGGCACTGTAGATGTTCGTCCTCTCTGGCAGCCACTGTTCCTGCAGTAACAGTACAGCACCTTTTCTGCCACTCTTGGAGCTTTTTCTTTCTGCCCAGTTACTCAGATTTGTGCCAGCTCTGTTGATCTCATGACAGTGTTTTCATGTTCAGTTGACACAGTAAAAAGATTTCTCTATAAACATTTACATTCAGTTGTAGCATAGGATTTTTTGTAAGCATTACTTCCAATGAATCTGCCAGAACCCAAGCTCCTGACTGTACTTTCATTTAGTAAAACCATATGGTAATGAAGAATTCTAGTGCTATTTCTGCAACAGGAATTTAATATTTAAATTGCACACCCTCCAAGATGTGGCTGCTGGGACATCACCATCACAGAAGCATCAGGAGTCTGATGGCCTGTTTTGTTACAGGGAAATATTTGATCATAATTGATACTTATCTGATCATAGAACAGCAAGGGACATGATCAAAGTGCCTTGGTGAACATCTATGAAGAAATTTGCACTAAATCTGTTTAAAGTAAAAGGAAAAAACAATGTCTGATTTGCTTCTTGAAAGACACAAGCCAATGCTACTGCATTTTTTTTTTCCTAAAAGGATGTCATATCAAAGCTTCTATCTTACACCTAAATAAACCTTAAAAAGGAAAATTTAACTGAAACTCACCTGCACAGCCAGTGATTGTATGAACTGCCACTTTCACATCATCTACATGGATTTAGTTGATCTTTTAGAAGAATTCTGAACGGAGGGGGATAGTCTAAAGAAAACCAACAGGAGCACTACAGACCTGCGAGCACGCGTCCCTGCTCTGTTGACTCCTCTGTATGAACTGGACTGAAAACTGCAGGAGGATCCTCAGTATTATCACTGTGTAAGTGATTGTGTAAATACTACATAAAAGACTAAACCTTGCTGGAATAACATCTGGGTTTATGGAGCCTTTCATATTTGGAAAGAAAATAAAATCCTTTTGCCAAAGTAATCCTCCCCCTGTACTGAATCAACCTCTCTTGCTAGGGGACGAGTTATTTTTCCCCATCTTCAATGCCTTCAACCACTGATGCTACAGTATTGCCACTGAAGTATTTTGAGACTGGCCCTTGGTCTCATCAACGGGGAAGGCTCTCAGAGGAAAGTGCCTATTAAAGATTAAGCAGAAGTACACACTGCTGTGACTGTATCTCTGAAGATGGGATTGATCTATTCTGGATCTGAATCTGGATATCCCGCTGGCTTCAGCGGAGTCCAGCTGCAAGAAGCAGACTATCACACTGAAAGAGATACAAGATTCCTAAACCACTGAAAGCATCCTTAATGATATACAGAGCTGAAATTCAGATGAATTAAGCTGATTCTTGAAGTGCTTGAAAGGACACTGAAATCGTTACAAGGTTTTTCCTTTAAAAAGTATTTTCTTGTTGTACAAGTTCTAAAATGTGATGTCCTTCTGATTCATACCTTCTTGATTTTTTCTGGTGTCAATTTACTGAATACTTATATTCCCCTCCCTGTTACTGATTGTCTGATTTTTTTTATCAGGAGATGCCCATGGTCTCAAAGGCATATTAAGTACAAGAAACTTAAGTTCCAGAAAAACTACCGATTTGGAACAAATAATTTAAGAAATGCAGAGACAGAAAATACTCAGAGAACTCTTGGGGTATGAGTGCAATTTATGACACAGCCTGGTAGTGTTGCATGCTTTGCTGGTTAGCTGTGTTAAATACTGTTTTGTAGTGTAATCCATGTCATGCAAAGTTTTGAAATATTCTTTGAATAAACTGAAACACAGTAAACAGATAAGTGCTACAGAAAGGCTTAAGTCTCCTTAGCCACTGCAGAAGTTGCATAACTACCCTTTATGGGAGGATGTTTGTGTGGGGACAGCAAGAACAGGGAACCACAGCATTCTGTCACCTTCCTTTTATTGTCTTAATATCTCCATCCAGCCCCCTCAAGTACAGGGGAGGAATAGAAAGCATCTGCTTGCAAAGCTACATATTCCAAAGAAAATACACCATCTCAGAAAACTAGGGGCAGGAGACTTCATACAAGTGTAGGATAATAAGGCAGAGCTCAAATCTTTTTCCTGCACAGCACCATTTAGTTAAGAAAATCCATGGGATCCTAAGGAATTTCTACTATATCAAGTATTGTAAAGATTTCTGGAAAGGTACAGCAAAAGTAGGCAGAAGATGCAGATTACAAACAACTCACAGAGAACAGAGGAGAGTTTATTACAGTGTCTTACAAGAGCTCTTCTTCCTTTCCCTTACTCCTAAGAAATTACTGTAGGAAGCTTGGGTTTGAAGACAACAGGAAGGGAACAGCTTTATACACTACACTGCTCTCCATGAGGAGATGAAACCTCTCCTCTATGCTCTCGTTCTCAAGAGGTGCTTCCACACACAGTTTTTCCAGCAGTCTGTCATAACAGCTTAAGAGAGGCTAGGGAAGTGTTAGCCACTCTTGAAACACCCACTCGTTCAGCCTTGTCCTTGGGCAAGAGTTGTGATCTCCCCCCTGGCTTTGTAAATTAACTTACAACAGATACAAAGAGAAAAGAAACGGTTTTGCAAGAAATAAGTGATCAGTACCAGCTTTCAAACCGAAACATATGGTACCACCATATCAGGTGGCCTATCTGATGTCCTGTCTCATTTTAATAGAGCTGTTCTAAGTCAGATCAAATGTCCTTGTGAAAGCTGCAAGATGCCTCTTTATTCTGATGCACCTTCAAAGCAGATCCAGTGCTCATGTCCTTCAGATGTTAACAGAATTGCTCAGGTTACGCAAATACTAAACAGTTCTTAAAAAAAAATACATATATTTGCTGTAACAACTGAAAACAGGTAGTTTCCTACCCAGAGCTACTTAAACACAGAAATCTGAACAGCATTCATTCCTGATCTCCTCAATCAGGATCACTGCTTTCTACAGTTAACACTCTGGTTGTCCCAACAGTTTATACAGCAGCTCCCACTCCATACGAACACACAAACTCCTATGGCAACAGGCACAAATGAAAACTTAAAAAAATAAAAATAATCCAAATCAAGATGAATAGAAACACATCTCACTTCACAGAGCTTTATAATGCAGGAGTCTGATTAAAGTGGAGATAGTAAAACAGGCAGCAAGACTGAGATGTGACAGTCATTTTACCTCTGCTCACATGACTGCATGGAAGGCACACCGAGGACCTTTGAGCCAGTTCAGAAGCTGTCCTTTATCTGTGAAAGTTCAAGTCAATTGTGCTTTGAATAAATACTTCTCTGTAGTTACACCTGAACTGCTGCGTTATATACCAGAAATACAGAACGTGTCCATGCACAGCCCTGAAGCACTTGGAGTATAGCCCTTGCCAGGTCAACTCGTGGATGACAGCACACAGAGATGGCAGGCACACTCCCACAGAGACACGGCATCCCGAGAGCTGACTGGCCAAACGAAGACTCAGAATGGAAGAAGGGCAGAAAGCAAAACTTGCTTGCAAGAGTTTGGCATTCAAGGTTACTACTGCAGAACCCCAACCAAGCCTGTCCTAACTGGCAGGAGTCTCTGCTAGGATAAGCTCACTGCTTCAGTTCACGGTTGGATTCTAACAGGACTCTGAGAAATAATTCAAACAGCAGCTGAGCTCATTATTAGCCATTTGCCTTGGTACTCATTTATGGTTGTCACTTTGTTCATGCTTAAAAATCCCTCCCTTAAGCTTTAACAGGAAAAAAAAAATTAAAATCCAGTGCTTAAGACAAAGACTAGCAACTGAATTTTGTAAGGCTTTGGGCTGACTCTTCCTGGAGCACAGCACTGCTTATAACCAACGGACTTTCTAGTGCCATCAGCAGCACACTCAGTACAACAGCAGAAGCTGTACAGATCACAGCAACCCTGAGGTAATAAAAGTATAAAGGAAGAGATGGAATAAACGTGAGATAGGTATGATAACCTTGCCACCTAGAAGAGATTCTGAGAAAGACACTCTTGCTAATTACACAACAGGAGCAGCAGTGGAAAAAAAAAAAAATAGTATATTTCAGTTTTTCCTTTGTTTACACACACACTCCCCTTAATGGCATCTGTGCAGGCCTCCCTGCAGAACCACCACTAGTGTTAAAAACCAGATCTTTAGTCTTTCTTTCCATCTGTACAAAGTGCAGTTGGAATTGATTTTGATCTCCCAAACCGGTTGCAGAAAGGAAAGGAAGCTTTCCTCTCCCTTCTGCCTAGATCACCCCATCCCAGTTCTCCTCCCTCCTAAGAGGTTTTTAAAAATTAAAAGCCCTAATTAAGCATGATCCACTTGAGATTAGTTTTGTCATCTTCTTCCAGAAAGAAAAACTCAAACGAAAAGCAAAAACAAAACACACAATCAATGCCTCACCCACCCCAAAAACAATAGTTCCATTTAAAAAAATAAATAAATAGTGTGTATATTTCATGCTGGAAAAAAAAAAAAAAAAAAAAAAGAAAAGTCACAGAAAGGATTCATTTTTGGTTTTCCCTCCCCCAAACATGACACCAGGCATTTTCTCCCCCCTCCCCTGACGTAGACATGATGGTACATTCCAACCAGCAATGTGCATCTGTGTGGAAAATGAGTTTCTACTCCTGCACAGTCCCACATGCATCAGGGAGCATCCAGCTAGCTGCTAAAGCAGAGCAAAGGCTTTCAGGTTTTGGGTATGGTCCCTGCCTGTTCCTTTGGTCCGTCTGTTAAAAGGCTCCTTGCTGCTCCCAGGTCTCTGCTCTTGTCTGTCTCCATTAAAACGTGCACTCTGGTCCCCACGCTTCCCGAGTCACTGGAGCTTCGTACCCAGCTTGCGCTGTCTGTTTCTGCAACGGCAACACAGAGGGTGGGTGAGAGATACATCAGTCACAGCCCACCAAGGAAACCAGTGGGCAAAAGATTGAAGGATTAAAATAAGGCTCTGTTTGGCACCACATTGGGGAGGGACTTTTTATAAGGGCAGGGAGTGACAGAACAAGGGGAAATAGCTTTAAACTGGAAGAGGGGAGATTTAGATTAGATATTAGGAAGAAATTCTTTACTCTGAGGGTGTTGAGACACTGGCCCAGGTTGCCCAGAGAAGCTGTGGATGCTCCTCCCTGGAAGTGTTCAAGGCCAGGCTGGATGAGGCTTTGAGCAACCTGGTCT